AGTTTGCCCACTCTCCCCCTGGTCTCACATGTGCTGATTGTGTGCTGCAGCCCAGTCTGACACGGCCTGCCTCACCTTGGCATTTGCCAGTGGATGCTGTAGCCTGGTTTGGCCCGGACCACCCCAGTTTCAGCTGATGCTGGTGGGGACTACAGCCTAGCCAGGCCCCAGTCTTGACCCTAATGTGAACTGGCTGGTATTGTGGCCTACCTGGCATGACCCACACTCCATTCCGGCTCTTGAATTTGCCAGTGGGTGATACAAACTGGTGCAGCCTGGCTCGCACCAGACCTGAGCCAAAGATAAGCCTGGTCTGCTCCCTTTCTTGGTACTTAGGCTCACCTGCAGAGACAGTGTCCTAACAGGAGTTCCCCAAGCTCCTTCATCAGAACCTCTCCCAATGCCAGATCTCGTGCACTCGGGTGGGTCCATGGGCTAGCCCCACTCAGTCCACCTCCTGTCCTAGCAGGAACAGTTGCCTTTCCTGACTGGCCCTCACCTATTCCAGTTCTGTTGGGTGCTACAGCCCAGCCAAGCTGGTCCACACCCAGACACAGCTGATGCATGGCTCAGCAGGGACAGAGACTTAGCTCAGCACACCCTACATCCATCCTAGTTCTCAAGTGCTCCAATGGGTGCTAGAGTCTAGCCAAGTATGGTGTACCCCAGACCCAGTCCACACTTGTGTCGAGGGACATTGCAACTATGTTCAGACCAGACCACAGCCCCCACTCTGGCCCCTCACCAGTGGGAACCACAATCCAGTCAGGGCATCCCCCTTAGCTCCCCAACCAGGCGTGATCCCAGGCACAGATCTTGCACGTCCCAGTAGTCGCTCTGACCCAGCTTGGCATAGCACCTCACCTGTCTTGGCCTCTGCCTTCGGATACCACAGCCTAGCCTGACCCAGCCTGCCCTCAGTCCCAATTCTCGCTGGTAGGTGGTACAATGTGGCCCTGCTAAGGCTGCTCTCATTCCTGTCTCACGCAAACCACCAGTGTGGCAGCCTAGCCCAGCATGAGTCGCACTCCATTCTGGTTTCTGCACTTGCCAGCGGGCTATGGTTCGATCACCCCTGTCCAGTCTGCCCCCTTCCAAAACCAACTCACACACTTGAGATGAATGGAGCTACCTTGACCAGCCTGCCCAACACCTGGGCCTGGACCATGTACTCATCAGCAGGAGCTATCACCCACTAGAGGAGTTTTCTGGGTTTCCCTGCTCAGGCCACCTCCAGACCAAGATCTCACACCTGCCAGCAGGTGCTTGGACCTTATCCAAAATAGCCTGTCCCATCTGTCCTGGCCTTTGTATAAGCTGGTGTGGCCCAGGCCACCCCACACCATTTTAGGGTGCTCATGTGGGTGCTGCAACCTGGACCTGACCTGCTTGTTCCCAGCCCCAGTATCAGTGAGCATTGGTGAGTTCCATGGTCATGCCTAGCTCAGTCCATCACCATCCCAACTCTCAAGCTAACCAGCAGGACTTGTAGTCCCAGAGGGTTTAGCAAACACTCCCTACAGAATCCACCTCTGGATCTAGTTCTCTTGCATGCTGGTTTGCTGGTTGGTGTCATGGCGTAGTCTAATGTGACCTATCCCCTGATCCAACACTGTCAGTTACTGGGATCTAGCCTTGCCAGACAGGCCCTCTTCCATAGCAGCTTGTGTGTGTGCTGGCATATGGTGGTCAGCCATGTTCCATGCTAACAAGATCAACCCAGGACTCCCATGCGGGCTGGTATATCAATTTGACCCATAAAGATCCTAAAGGTCTTTCCATTCCAAACCACCAGGTCTCAGTCCCCTTGCTTATACCTCCTAGTACACTGGCCCTGTCACTGGATGTCACTCAAGATCCATTCCTCACCTACATGTACAGTGGCCTCATCCATGCATGTCTCTAGGCAGTAATTCCATACACCTAAGACCCCAGAGCTTGCCACTGTGCAGTGGTGAATGGGGAGCGATGCTCCCCAGCAGCAAGCCTGGGCTGGCACGGGTACCCCCAGCCACAGCCACATGGCTGGGGATCCAGACACTCACGCCGCTGCTGAGACTTACCTGGACTCTACCCACCAACATGGCAGTTTTGGGCGGAACCATGACCATGAGTATGCCTAGAGCCGCCTGAGGTCCGTCCCCAGCATGGTCATTGTGGACAGAGGAAATTCTCGGACCTCAGGCTTGGACAAACCCAGGACCCTCCACCTGCCCACCAGTGGTAGATGGGAGCCAGGATCTTTAGCAGGAAACCTAGCCCAGCACAGGTTCACACAGCTGCAGCCACAGCCACAGCCACGTGGCTGGGGGATCCAGACACTCATGCTGCTGCCCAGACTCACCTGGACTCCTAAAACAAAAATCTTAAACTGAAAGGCAGAGAGAGTGAGAGATCTTCGATCTACTGTTTCACTCCGATACATGCCTCTAACAGCTAGGGGTAGACCAGGCCAAAATCAGGAACCTAGAACTCCCTCTGGGTCCTTCCACATGGATGAGAGTCCAGTGATGAAGCCATCAACCACCCGTTACCTCCCATCCCAGAAGCACACCAGCAGGAATAGGGAATTAAGATAGGAATCAAACCCAAGGACTCTGATACACAATGCAGGTGTCTCAAGTGCCAGCCAGTTTGACTCACTGCATCACACACATGATCGCTAAAACCCTCTCTTCAGCAGACACCAAGACACACATAGAGACAGGCACCCGGCTCAGCAATTAAGATGCCAGTTAGGACACCCACCCTCCATTATCATTATTTCCAATTTCCTATAAATATAGGTAGACCTTGGGAGGCAAGTGGTTGGGTCTCTACCACCTACTTGAAGGGCCAGGAGATCTGAACCCTGTGTTCGTCTGTCATTCAAAGATACAATTTTTTAAAATAAAAGGAACACATGGACAATAAATAAATTGAGTCAATAATTATCTCGCTATATAACCCAGCTGGTGAAGTGAACAATCAGCTTTTACCACTGGTGTTTGGAGGAATAGCCTAAGAGGGCATATTAGCATGAAGTCTTAGAAAACAGGTTGAAATCTGAAAAAAACATTGTTCATCAAGAGTCCTCCAGTGTGCTTCTTAAATTTTGTATTTATCTGACAAGTATAGAGAAAGATAAACAGCTCTGCCCTCCTTCCGTTTACTCCCTAAACACCTGCATCAGCCAGGGCACCAGCAGGACACACTGCCAGGCCCTCTACACGGGATGTGGACCTTCTGAGCAGCATCCCACAAGCCAGGACAAATACTGACCCACAGAAGGCTTCTCTCAAGGAACCTACTTCCAGTGCTTAGTCATGCTACGGGGTGTCCTTTCACAAACTTGGAAATTTAAAAAAAAAAAACCAAACATGATAAACAGTTTAATTTAAATTTATTGTTTACCTTTATGGAACAAAGCAATCAAAACACACTGGTAGCTTTTACTGCAAAAAATTCTCTTCACAAAGCACCAAAAAGACAAAGGAGGAAATGACATGAAATCAAACAAGTATCATACATCTTAACTATATTGTGTTTCATGCATAGCCAATAAGTTTACAACTTTCTTTGAATCATCTTACATCACTTAACATAAAAATAGAAAAACATTTTTGAACTGAAATTGCAAGCATTTCAAGTGTGTGCTTATTGGGCCAGGTGCAGTAGCCTAGTGGGTAAAGTCCTCACCTTGCACCCGCTGGGATCCCATATGGTGCTGGTTCTAATCCCGGCAGCCCCACTTCCCATCCAGCTCCCCGCTTATCTCTGGGAAAGCAGTCAAGAACGGCCCAAAGCCTTGGGACCCTGCATCCACATGGGAGACCCACAAGAAACTCCAGGTGCCTGGCTTCGAAATGGATCAGCAACAGCCATTGAGGCTGCTTGGGCAGTGACTCATCGGACAGAGATCTTCCTATCTCTCCTCCTCTCTGTATATCTGTCTTTCCATTTAAAAAAAAAATGTTATAAAATAAAAAAAAAAGTTGATACCAAAGGACTCAGGAAAAATGTGCTGAAAATGACAGCGGTAAGACTATCAGAGGACTTGTTGAGAGAAGGCAGCGTGATATCTCAGTGGAAACTAGATTGGGATTAACACTTGAACTTCATTGCTGTTCTAAAGTTTTGATATCTGTAATACAAAATGTGTTTATATTTTCAAAATTTTTCTGAAAGGCAGAAAAAGAGATATACATATCCTCCATCAACTGGTTCATTCCCAAAACCACTGCATTCACTGGGGCTGCTCCGGGCAGGGGTTCAAGGACTCAGTCCATCGTTTATTGCTTTTTCAGGTTAGCAAGGTGCTGGACCAGAAGCCTAGGAGCTGGAACTCAAACTGCCAGCCAGCCCCAATATGTGTTTAACACAAATTACTTAGAACTAATACTAAATAAAGAACTCAACAAATTAAAAGCCGAAAACATTTTAAACTTCATCAACAGTCATATCAAGCAGCTGATTAAGGATACTTCTTCCATATTCTCCTCTTCAGAGGCAATCATTTTAACCTATGTACTTAGTAGAGCTTAATGAAAGCAACTGTTCAAAAATAATGAAAAGCAGATTTCAGAACATCAAAGTTGGTAACACCAATGTCGTAGAGTCCAGTACTAGGGAGCTACCTGAAACTAAGAGAAAAGCATCACGCAGAGAGCAGCACTTCACTCTTTCAATACCAGCCAGTGCTTTCTATCCAACCTTTAAGCACCACACGGGATAAGATGATAACTTCGCCCCATCCTAAAGGTCGGAGGGGGAAGGTAACCTGGAAATACAGCTTCAAACACACGACAAACACTACAGAGGACACCTACTTGGTTGGGCTATGGTTTCTCTTCCCAGTCATGCTGCGCTGTCAGAGCTCTAAATCCTAACTGTGCTTCCTTCCCCTTCAAATATTTCTAAATGATAACTGCAGAAATATATTTTTCATAGTACTTATTTATTCATGTAATTGCTAAAAATGTGGACTTGAATTTTTAAAGTACAGAACACCCAGTACTTACTGATTAAATGTTGCCGAATACAGGGCAATAGCATTTTGGCTCCACCATCTAGCGCAACTGCAATCAATTAGATTCCCAAAGAACACGCAGGTCCTACATCAGTCCCAAAAAACATTTTTTGAGGTGAGCCTATACTAAAAAAACGAGAAAAAAAATTAGCTTCCTTGGAGGCACACAAAAACACCTAAGAACACCTATTTTGGGAGTTAAAAATGAGATAAAAATCATCACATGTCATGGGAAGTGTCCTTCATAACACTTTTTTCTCACTAGCTGCCTGTGAATGGAGAAAAAAAATTCTCACAAACTATTCCTACTTTGACAATTTTTCTGTCAAATTATAAAATGTAACTTGAGAATGTAGTTTCAATCTTTTATTCTCCTCCTAAAGTGTAGTTCAATTTCTAAATCTTAACACAGCGATACCATCGTAGGAAAAACATTAAGATTTCTGGTGTATAACCCACGGCAAGGTCTTTCAGGGGGTGGTAAAATTACTAAAGCCACTAAACACAGCTGTCTTCCTAAAGTTTCCCAAAACACGAAGTTAAAAATCACCCTCAAGATAGCAGTCTGAAGTAATGGAAACACAGGGAAACGCTTAGCCGAAAAACTGATTCTACGTGTGCAGCACTTCCAACGCGGCGAAAGAAAAAAAAAAATTATTTTCTCTACTCCGCCCTGAGCTCACAAGCTACGGACGGGACGGTCCCCTAGGAAAGTTGCACACCGCATTGTTGGAGCCTTCAGCCGCCCGAGCAGCAAGCCCTTGTCGAGAGGCGCCCAGTGCTACGTGTCCCCTTCCCCCGCGTCTCCGGCACACAGCCTCGCCCCCTGGCAGCCGGCGGGGACGGCAGGAGCCGGGCGGCCGCGAGCAGCGGGCATCGCCGAGCCCCTCGGGCGGGTGTCGCCCCCGCCTAGGCCCCCCAACACGCCCGGCGTCCCTGGGCTGCACGGAACGCCGCCCGGGGACCGGGGCACAACGCCCACCGGTCCAGAAGCCAGTCTCCCCACCAAGTGCACGCTTAAAGACCAAAGGGATTGACAGTTTCTCAGGCAAACGTCTCGGGAACCCGGACTCCCCTCCCCAGCCCCCCGACACACTGGCCCAGCACCCCGGAGGGACCCTCCCCGCTCCTCAGGCTGACAGCAAAGCGCGCCGGCCACCCCTGCTCTCCGGAGCCACGGGGCGAGGCTGCGACCCCCAGGGCAGGACAGTCCGAGACGCCAACAAGGACAAAAATTAATAAAACGGGGGGGATCTAGGGCGAGACCTGCCCCCCACTCTCCCCTGCCCAAGCCCACCGCTCGCTGCTCCTCGGGGACTCAGCACCGCACCGGGAAAAGCCAACAAAGGAGACAAACTAGAAACACTTGGGGCACACAAGTCCAGGCTCCCTAACCCACCCCACTCCCCACCCCACCCCCCCAGGGGTCCCGGCGCCATTTAGCTCTTCCGAATCCGCCGCCATTTTCCGCCCCCGCCGGATCGCAGCCGTGCCGGGGCGGCCACTCGGCTCTCCTCAGCTCGGCAGCTCGAGCCGCCGCCGCCGGCCGTGCCGGGAGAGGGAGGCCCCGGCCTCGGGCGTGCGGGGCCAGCGGCTTGAGCGTCACCGAGGCCCCGCTCCGACCCCGCCCGCCCGCGGAGCCCGGGCGGCAGCTGGCACCGGCCGACGGCAGCCACAGGGCAGCCGGGGGGCCGGACGGGCTGCGCTGGGCGGAGCGGCCCCGGCGGCGGTTGGGACCTGAAGGTTCCATCGCACTTACTTCCTGTTTTGGGTCCGGGCACTTGGGAAGAACCAGGATGGAGGCTCCAAAAAATACCAGGATGGAGGAAGCAGCCACGGGCGAGAGTGGCTGCAGCTGGAGTGAGCGAGCGCGACGAGCCACCGGAAACGGAGCTACGGCCGCGCCCCGCCCCCGGCCCCCGCCTCTTTCCCTTCCCCCGCCTCTCCCGTGGGGCGGCCCTCGCGTGACGGCTGCGCGCGTCACTTCCGGCCGGGTCGGCGCGCGCGAAAAAGGTCCCGGGCTGTGGGAGGCTTGCTTTGGAGCTCAGGAGCCGGGCTGCCGGGCTGCCGGGCGAGCGGGCGAGCGGGCGAGCGGGCGGCCCCCGACCTGCCGCGGGGCCGGCTCCGGGGAAGGTGCGGGGATCCCGCGGCCGAACTGCCTGCGGTGGCAGCCGGGGGAGCCGCGCTGTGGGGCGGGCGCCGGTGGCGGAAGGCCGGCGCTGCAGACGCCGCGTGTGAGGTTGTGGGGACCGGAGCCGGGGTCTCGAGCGGCTGTGTGTCGCACCCGGTCCCTCCCGAGGTCTGTCCGTGACAGGGGAGCGGGGCGCTGGCTCCGGGGCGGAGCTGTGCAAGGAGTGTGACCCGAGCCCGGTTCCTCAGGTATAAATGACGGTGTCACACGGAGTGTCACAGTGTGTCACACTGAACGCTCGTGCAGCTGTAAGCTGAGGACTCGCCCAGGAGGCGGTCACAGTGGGAGCGGGGTCGGCACGGGTTATCAAAGGCTTGGGGAAGGTGTGAAAGCTTGTGCTTAACTGCAAGTAAACGAGGCGAAGAGTGCTTCTCCCTAAGCACTTTCACTTGTTTTGTACAATCCTGGCTTCCTCTGAATATAGTTTTCCTGGAAGACTAATTGTAGGTGACACCAATTTCATCCAAGAAACACGGGGTTGGGGGCCTGGCATGGTGGTGAACAAGCTAAACATGGGCATCACTTTAGAAAACTGCTTCAATTTCCACCCAAATGCATTTATGGGAAAGTATTCCAACGGTTTATGAAAGATGGCATGTTCTGCAAAATGAAATTCAAAAATTTTTTTGCAGTGAAATAAATTTACCTTTTAGTTCCCGTGTCCCACCGAATTTTTGAAGTAGCTTCGCAGCTTTTCTTCAGGGTTAGCATCTCTTAGAAATGTTGGGTTTCCCGAAACGAAGGGTCCAAAGTCAGGATGGGCCTTGGCTTCATACCTGTTGGAATGGCCAAAAGCCATGACGGTGACAACCCCAAATCCTGAGAGGTTGGGGAAACAACAGGGACCCTGATTCCTTGTGGGTAGGAATGCAACGTGGCCCATTCCAGACGAAATACGCCTTCATAGGATCTAGCAGTTGCTGTTTTTTTTTTTTTTTAAACTTAAGTTGAAAATTCCACATAAAACCCTGCGTATGATGTGCACAGCAGCCTCATTTGTAACTGTTGACACTTGGGAGGGATCAAGTTGTATTTGAGTAGATGATTCGATCAAATGGTACATCCATGCAATGGCCATTTATTCTTTGCTGAAAAGCAGTGGCCTGTTGAATCATGAAATGACACGGGGGAATCCTAAATGTGCACTGTGTGGTTCCCATTTTATGACACCCAGGAAAGTACGAAAACCATAGGGACACTAGGCTCAGTAGTTGCCAGGGTTGAAGGGAAAGCAGGAACAATAGGCCTTTTAGGACACTGCGGTGACTGGCCCTCTAAGGTTAGACGCGTGCCGCTGGAGATGGACCTGCCCTGTCCTAAACCCAGCCGTCAGCTGGGGACTCGCTGTCAGTGTAATGTCAGTGTAGTTGCATTGTTTGTGATCATTGCACCACTGTGAGGAAGGATCTGGATAGCGGGAGTAATTGTCAACGTCTACACAATCGTTTCTGTGGACCTGAAACTGCTCTACGAAGACAAATTCTTTTCTAAAGTTTTTCATCTAGTGAAGTATAGGAGGGCTAAGTAACATGAGCCAACATTCTTTCATGTTCCCAAGTACCAAATGCATCCCTGCAGTTACTATAAACGAAGCCCATTTTCCACAAGACCCGAAGAGAAGTGAAGGACTATGTCCAAAGGCTCACAGAATGTGTGAGGATGAGAATCGAAGCCCAGCTCCATGAGCTACGTTCCGACCTTCACGCGATCTTAGAGCACACGTTACACCAGCAGCAGCCTTCACGTGATGAAAATGAGGCATCACAGTTAATTTCCAGATAGGTTTTTGGAAGACTGACAAGTTTGATTTTTCAAAAACGCCCGGAGGAATTTTTTTGTTAGTCATTTTATTATGAATTTGTGATGTTCTCTATTCTGTTGGAATTGTAATGTTTCTATTTTTAAGTGAATGCCTAAGTGGTGTTTATGAAAGCAAACTCAGTGAAACTGTTGATGTACAGTGTCATACCTGCGTGTCAATCTTGGCCCCTTGCTTGTGTGGTATTTCACCTCTTTAAGTTATTTGCCTTAACAAACTAGTGGTCATAAAAGGGAATTAAATAAGAATGGAAATTAATAAGCTCCCAAGCCATAAAGCAATACAACTACTCAACGGGTCTGATGAAACAGTGACTAATACACAAAACTGTTGATGTTAGCAATTCTGAGAAAGTATTTCCTAATTAGTTATGTTTTCCATAAAGTATAACCATCTGGGATTCTTCCCATCAAAGCATAACGTACTGATGGCCAAATTATACTCTAACTACCCATTTTTCCCCTGCAAAGGCTTAGGCCAGTCTGTCCTCTTGCTGTTAATTCCTTAGAAATCCTCAAGTTTGTCCTCATAATCAGATTTTGTTTTTTTTCTTTCTGGTGAGTTTCTTTCATAATTTTTCTTTCCTAACCACGGACACTTGCCTGGGAACACCAGCATATTTTAAATAAACTTAGTAATCTAAAATTTATTTTCTTAATACCACCATTATACATTTAGCTTAAGTAACCAACTATAACACAGTTTTAATCATAGAGCAACTTAACTTTTTTTGAAGATTTGTTTATTTTTATTTGAAAGGCAGATTTACAGATAAGGAGAGACAGACCTTCCATCCCCTGGTTCACTGTCAAAGTGGCCTCAAGGGCCAGAGCTGAGCCAATCCAGAGCCAGGAGCTTGCTCCAGGTTTCCTATGTTGGGCGTTCCTCTGCTGCTTTTCCAAGCCATAAGCAGAGAATTGCATTGGGAAGTAGAGCAGCTAGGACATGAACCAGAGCCCATATAGGATGCCAGCATCTGAAGGTGGAAGATTAACCTGTTGAGCCAGCATGTCAGCTTCCCTTCCCTCAACTCCCCCCATAGAGCAACTGTGCAAGTTTCCCCACCTCACTGTTTAGTCAACGTGTGTGCAGGCAATGCTTGAGATTCTTTGTATTAGCGAAGGAGTCATTTAATTAGCAGATAAATATTGTGTAGAAAAATCATGAGGAATATATTTATTCCAAACGAAAGATAGAAAAATATTATAGGGGCCAATGTGATGGCTCAACTGACTAATCCTCCAATTGCTGGCCTCCCATATGAGTGCCAATTTGTGTCCTGGCTGCTCCCACTTCCCTTCCAACCCCTGCTTGTGGCCTGGCAAAGTGGTGGATGGCCCAAAGCCTTAGGACCTGCACTTCTATGGGACACCCAGGAAACACACTCGTGGTTTTGGATCAGCCATTGTGGCCACTTGGGGAGTGAACCAGCAGATGAAAGAATTTTATCTCTCCTTCTCTCTATAAACCTACCTTTCCAATAAATACATCTTTAAAAATTATATTTATAGAGGGTCCTTGTACTCGTGTTCCCACAAGGGAGACCAAGAAGATACTCTGGCTCCTGATTTTGGTTTGACCCAACCCTGGCTGATGTGGCCATTTTGGAGTGAACCAGCAAGTGGAAGATCTCCTCCACTCCTGCCTCCCTCCCCCATCTTTCTAACTGCCTTTCACAAGGATAAACTACACCTTCAATGGTTTTCTATTTTTTTTTTAATTGTAAGACACAGCATGAGACCTACTTTCTTGATCAAATTGTGAGTGTGTAGTGCGTTACTGTTGCCTGCAAGTAGAGTAAGGTACAGTGGCTCTTTAGAGCCTGTTTGTCTTGCTTGGGGCTTCTGCGGGTTGATCGGCAGCTTCCCATTTGCCCTGTTCCTAGCCCCCAACCACCGTTAATACAATTTGTTAGAGTTCTCTTGTCTGTGAAGTCAGGTATATTTGTGGTTCTATGGCTCTCATGACTCAGCTAGCATGATGTCCTCAAAGGTTGCTGCAGATTGTAGAACTTAGTGCTTTTTAAGGGTTGAGCGGTGTTCTTCCTCATCCAAAGCCAGGACCAGCAGAATCCCAACCAGAGCAGGGATGGGTCACCTGCCATTTCTGCATCATAGTAGTTTTAATTTTGCAGTACGTAGCCCAGTTCCTTAACTTAGTGGACACTTAAATGTTAGCATTAAAGACAATTAAGTGTCTTGAGCCAGAAGCTCGAGGAGCTTAACCAATTGTATTCACTGACAATAAGTGCTGACTATAGGAAATCAATCAGATTTGGACAGTTCTAGAATAACATAATGTTACGTTTTATCCAAGTGGAAAGCAGTACTTTAACATACATATTTTAACAATGAAGCATGTTCTATATTGCT